ATTTCTAGATTTTATATATATATATATATATATAAAATCTAGAAATGTTTTAGAAGCACCCATCGTTAGTTTCTGTTAAAGTCTCTGTTATTGGCTGTAAACTGACTCCATGAGTTTGAAATTGTTCCTGATATGTATAATGGGGAAAGACCTGTGCAGGTGGAAGTTATTCCCTTACTTAAGGGTAACATCACCGGGTATTGCTCAGCTTTGCCTTGCTATGCTTAGCTTAGATTTGTTTAGCATAGCATTGTGTCATGTGGGTTACCATTCTCCTGTACTCTTTTTGTTGGGGTGGAGACAGGACTTCTAAAAGCGTTAGCAGACGTAAAGTTACCAGAGCTCAATTTAGCTAATTGGTCTGTTAACGGTTTGGTGTCTAAAGTTAATGAAAATGCTAATCTGTTAAACTAAAAGTTAGTTCTGCTATTAGCGGATTAGCAGAACCATGTCCACCACTGATTATGTTTAACAATATAAAAACTACAAAAAACAAACTGTATTGTCAACTGACCTCTCACTTTCATTACTAAATTCAGGCACTCCCATCAAACACAAATAACTGTTTTGAATTGATTGACCAATTGTGCTCTTTTTAAAATCCCAAAACACAAATTACTATAGTGAAAGCAGCATGTTGACAGGGGTTGGTCAGAGGGTTATGAGGAATTTCTGAATCTGAATACAGGCAATGTGAGCCGACACAGAATGCAGTATACATGTTACAAAAATACAGAGGTCTCATTTAAACACAGACTGAAAGAAAGTAAACACCTTCAATTATCAGCATAAGTAGCAAAACATATAATTTAAACTCTAAACCGGTTTTATAAAACAGGAAACTCTTAACTATTATGAAGCTCTTGTGTGATTGTCATCACGCTGAGCTGAGGAGTTAGAAATGGCACAGTTTGGTTCTAATGAACAGGTCCAGCATCCCAACATTTTCCAAACCAAGTCCAAACATGCACCCTGCCTACAGTGGGCTGAGGGCCAAGCTCATCCTAAAACTCTGCAGCTTCCCATGGAGCACCATAATTACACCTCCACAAGGAGAGCTGTGGAGAGACCTGCTGTGCCTGTTCCCATTAAGACCCCGGTATTCTGTGCAACAGCACAATCTGCTATGTCAACAGGTTCCTGCCTCATAACAACAGACACATGAGACTAATGAAAGAGGCCAGAGAGAAACACTCAACTGGGAAGTGATAAAATATCACAAGAAAACAAAGACATCAGCTACTGCATGGAACTAAAAAAAAGGCAACAAGAGTTGTTGTTTTTCTTTTGGCTACTCCCTTATTCACTGGTTGCCACAGGAAACCTGCATGAAAGATTTGACAATTGGTTTTACCCTTCCCCATGCAAGCTGGGCTCGAACTGGCAGCCTCGAGATTACATGGCTGCGGCACTTAGCCATGAGTCATCACATAAACTTTTATTTAAAAATGGCTCCACATTAATATTTTTTGAAACTGCAATTTAAAAAGAGCAAGTTAAGTAGTTGTATAATTGTTGTCTGCTTTGCTAACTTGATCTTTACTTTATACAGTATGCTGTTATACTTAACAGCCTTGAATGTGCTGAGTACACAGTGATGCACAACAATATTTGTCTCCATCTGTGTTCCTCTTTCTTCTGGCATGAGAACCAGGACCATATTTACACCAGTTTAGAGCACTGATGGATCATTAACCTGCTAACCCAAAGTGTTGGGATAACAGCCTTGTTGTTAATTGTACATTTAAGCAGTTCAGAGGTGTTTGTCAAGTAATTTGACTTGGTATTAAATTATTTACGACATTTCAAATGAAAATAGGGCTCTTTGAGGTAAAAACAACCTACCTTTCTAGGTTTCAGCTTATCCTGCAAATCGTACTGGCCGATTCCTTTATAGCTGACTCCCAGCCACCATGGTATTCCTTGCTTGTCCTGCAAAAAAACACACAAAGAGCCCAGCACAAATCATTGGAAGGTTTATCGGTGGGAGCTTCAATGCTGTGACCTCATTTAGATCACAAGACAAAAATAAACCAAATGGTACATTAAAAACTCTACACTTGACTCACCAAGATATTCTAACAATTATCATTTCAAACATCTAGATTTCATAAGAATTTTCTAACATTCATTAAACTATTCTCCTACAACACAACAATTATTTTTTATTCAATGGCTATAAAAATATTTACTTATCAAGCATAAAATAAGTGACTTTGACATGGGTCTGTTAAAAGGTTAAGCTACTGTATGTGTGAGGGCAATGCAGTTACCTTCACAGGGTAATAATGGACTCCATATGTGGGCAGGGATTTCACCAGGGCCAGATACCTTCAATGAAAGAAGAACAGGTCACACTTCATCACTGTCAGCAGATGACTGTAACAACTGACAGAGAGGGATTTAAGCTGCAGCCACTGAGAGGCCACAGTCATTGCAGGGGCAAGCTGATCGATTTGTTTCAGGGCTGTGACAGAGGGAGGGAGGAGTCCATTGATCAGTTCAAGGGCACAAATTGTGTTCCTGGGAAAAACTCGGTGGAGGACTTACAGCCTTCCACAGCTGGCAGGCTGCCTACTACAGGAGCATCTCTTCAATTAACAACCCATTCTGGCAGGGTGACAGCTACCTCTTACAGCATCAGTCATCACAGAGCAGACAGTTAAAGACCTGATGCAGACTCCAAAGAAAGACGCAACAAAAAACAGGAAGTTATTTCCTGTTTAGTCCAAATAATTATTTTTGAAAACTTACTGCACAATAGCTTGTCCTCTGGTCAGTCCTTTCAGTTTCTTGTAATGCTCAATCACTTTGTCCTCACTGTGGATGGAAGGATAAAATATTTAATGAAAAATCAATCAAGTGTAACGCGTCATTACTGCTGAGGAACTGTGTGAGAGAGCTCTTTCTTTGACACACAATCTGCCTGCTCATGCAGAAAACACAGTCTGGCCCACTGGGCTGCTGATAACTTTCATCTACCAACCATGCAAGCGCCTCCCCATTCACTTCCCACTGCAATAATTTCTTAATGGTACAGTGACGAGCCAGTGCATCCAAACAGACGTAAAGATGGAGACAGATGTATGGTGATGTAGTCAATCATGCTTCGTACACCTGTAATTTTAATTAGGATGTTGAACTGATTTATCTCTTAAAAGAGTCAGCAGAAGCCTCAAATTAAAAAGTACAGACTGGAGGTGCAGACAATCATCTGCAGTCAGCACCTCCCAGTGTCCTCAAAAAGCTAATAAGTAAATGCAATTAACAAAATCCACTTTAGTAGTCAGTCCATTAGGAGAGGAACTCATTATACGAGTGACAGGGCTGTAAGCACCTTAGCACCTCTGAAAATGACAGCCTTGTGTGTAGAAAATTTTACTGATACCAGAGACCTGACAGCTGAGTCATGCACAGATATTCCAGGGTGATCTGATTCACCCCCAAAGATAAGTTATTTTTATTTATCAAGATCAATAACAAGGCTTATCAGTGGAATGAATCAGATCTTTTTTTTTTACAAACTAAAATCAAGAGAGGAGGACCACAATATCTTGTGTATTAATGATATCTTTTTACTCTTTTTTTCCTGTAAGAGTCCGCACTTGTGAGTAAAGTACAGCTGAGTATAATATAATAACTGCTGAATAATTTCAGCAGTTGACGATTCCTGAAATTATGTTATATGATGGGAAAAAGTCTTCAACTAGACCCTGCAGATGGTAATTAGATGTTGTTGATACCATTCCAGCAATGTGTTACCAGGATTATTTGATAATAATCCTGATCAAAACCTGAGCTGACGCTCTCAGTACTTTGTAATAAGAGTTGTGACACTGAATGAACTCGGGCTGTCTACAGGGCTACTTGGGAACAAACCAAACCTCTCCTTACCCAGTCACAGTTCATGTAGGGCTGTGAAACAATACAGTAATTTCCAAACTATAAGCTGCTACTTTTTTTCACAGGCTTTGAATCGTATAGCAACTTTTGCTAAAGTCTGTCAGTGGACCCTGACAGCGGAGCAGGGTAAAAAAAATCCTGTCACCAACGGGTTTTGAAAGGCTGGACTGCTGTGTGACAGAAGACAGCACAAGCTTGCACAGGAGGAAGATGAAGATAGTGATCAATGACTACCTGGTAGGTTACTGTATTTTTTTTTAACCCAGCCGTGTTACAGGTAGGGGTGTAACAATCCATCGATTTAAATCGATATATCGATTAATTATTCAATTATATTGTGGCAAAACTATAACATCGATTCATATCTTCATCTTTAAAATACGCTTTTATTTTGAAATTTCCAAGGCACATCTGTGTCACCATTTCCATGCGCGGCTGTGCTCTGCGGTCGCCTCAGCAACATGGCAGACAAACACAAGATAAAGAAATTCACTCTCCTGCTGGATTTAAATCAACACTGTGGAAATATTTTGGATTCCAACAGAAGGACGGCTCAACAGACAAAACTCATGCCGTATGCAACAGGTGCCAGTGGGAGTTCAAATACTCGGGGAAACAACAAATTTGTCCGTTCACCTGAAGAAGAAACACGACATTGATAGCCATGTTATGTAAGATCAATATATATTTTTGTTTCTTTATAACTGAAAGGTAGTCAAGACACTTTTAAGTTAACTGGTTTAAAAAAATGCACTTAAACATGAGAAATGTGAGACTATATTGAACAGGTAATTTATTTTTATTTTTTCATTAATTAAGAAAAAAAGTTTTTTATTTAAATGCCTGGTGCCTGTAATAACAGAAATAAAATTGTTAAACCATAATTGAATTTAGGGGTGCACCGATTTCAATTTTCAGGCCGATCACCGATCACCGATTTTTTGAAAGTCTGAACTGCCGATTCCGATTTTGGCCGATACAGATTTTTTTTTTATAAGCAACAGTGTCAGGTGTTACAAGATCACAATGCACCTTCAATTTACCAATCTTATTTTATTGTAAAACATACCCTTGAAAAATACCCTAGAAACAATACAAACTTGTTGTTTTAACTTGTCATGAGGTAGTATTCTGAAATATAAATGAAGTTTACACAATTTTTGTTAAAACTATAAAATTAACTAAAAAAAAAAATGTTCAGTTCCTTCAACTCTTTCACTTGTTACATTTAAAAAAAAACAACTTAAAAAGATAATGCAACAAGTGTAACATTTTCAAGTCAGTGGGTAATAAGAACTAACACTGGCACAGGTAAGTTAGTTCTCACAGACTTATTCCAGTCACTTTCATTAGTGGCAGGTTTTTCTTGATGAACAAAAGCATTTCTGCTTTGTCACCAGACAGGCAACTTCTTTTCTCATCTACTACATGTCCAGCCAAGCTAAACAGGCGCTCGCTTTCAACGCTTGTGCATGGGGCAGAGAGATAGGTTCGGGCAAGTAGAGCAAGATGAGGGAAACGATTTTCATTGATCTTCCAGTAGACCAATGGGTCCTGGCTCCTTTCGACAGGAACCTCAGATAGGTAGTTCTGTACCTGCATAGCTGAAGGGCTGGCCAGCTGTTGCTCCTGTTCAATGTTCTCCTTCAAGATTTCGTCGTGAGCTGCAAACAGTAGACTACGTCTTTTGGCTGCAGGTTCATCTATATCAGGAGGTCCCACTTCAGAGGATGTTCCTGCAGCAGGTGTGCATCTGGTCTCCCCCTCTGCAAGTTTGGTCAAAAGGAGCAGTTTCACGTCATCTTTCACCTCTGCTGAGAAGTAGCGATTCTTGTACCTTGTTTTGCATAAACAAAGAAAGAGGGGTCAATCATTGTGTTTTGTATACATTAACAGTTTTTATGACTTGCATGTAAATAAAGAAATGCATTTCAATCAATAAAGTTTTATTTTTAATTTAATTTAAATGTTTGTTGAAATATAGTAGTAGGCTAAAAGTAATTATGGCTAAAATAGAATGTTAATAGTTACTTGCCTTGGATCCAGAACAGTGGCCAAGCTGTACAGGGGCTCATGCTCAATGTTGCTGAATCTTCTCACAACAGCCTCCAGCAACGTAGCTTTGGCTGTACCCACGCCACGGTCTGTGCTCGCTTGCCTCTCCAAAATCCGCTTGAGTGCAGTGATGGCTGGGATGACATCTGCTGCTGTAGCTGTTGATGAGCTAATCTCCTTTGTGAGTTCCTCAAAAGGTGCAAGAATGGTGAGCACATTGTCCAGTAGCTCCCACTGGTGTGCTGTGAGTGTGGCTGGTAACTCATGCTCAGCAGCATACACGCCAATAGCACGTCTCTGCTCCAACAGCGACTGCAGCATGTAGACTGTGCTGCTCCACCTTGTTGAAACGTCTTGCTGTAATCGTTTCCTGGGTTGACCTAACTGTGTCTGTATGTCATAAAGTCGGGAATAGGCAAGTGATGAATGCTTAAAATGTCCAACAATTCTCCTTCCTGTTGCCACCATGTCTGTGATGCTGCGCTGCGCCAGCTGTCCCTCATTTACAACCAGTTGCAGTGTGTGTGCCAGGCAGGGTAAACTTTTCAGGTTGATATCATCCAGCGCTTTGGCCATATTACGAGCATTATCCCGTAAAACAACGTGAAGTCTTCCATTATCGATTTCCCAGTGATTCAGCATCGCCTTAAACTCTGCTGATAAATTGGCCGCAGTGTGAGACCCCGCCATTTCTTTACAGTTTAAGAGTACTTGATGACGTTCGAACTGTTCGTCAATCCACTGTGCAGTAAAACTTAACATGGACATTAAACTTACATCAGAAGTCCAGATGTCTGTTGTAAAGCTGAGCGTATTTGTATTAGCTTTTAGCAGGCTGCGGGTGTCTCTCGAAACTTGGCTGAACAACTCCGGTAATGCAACATCAGAAAAATATTTCCGACTCGGCATATTATATCGTGGGCACACGTGCTGCATCAAGCTTCTAAAACCTTTGTCCTCAACGACTGAAAATGGCTGGTCGTCTAATGCCATGAACTCCATCACTTTCCTCGTGGTAGCTTTGCTCTTTTCGTTGCTCATAAAAGCCAACAGCGACCCACCGACTGCCTCTTTGTTAGCGCTAGCTTTAGCATTAGCCTTAGCTTGGTTGCTCTCTTCAAACATTGCATACTTGGCGGCGTGGTGATTTCTTAAATGGCGAACGAGGTTTGTTGTATTAAAGGTTTTGGTGGTGGCTCCACCACGACTTACTTCGGCTTTACACGAATTGCAAATTGCGATCTTTGGCTCATTTTCTTTTACAGCGTAGAACTTCCAAACCGACGACATGGCTGCTCCGAGTGACCTGCGTGTGAGCTCTCACAGTGGAGCAAAAGGGGACAGCAGCTGATTTTCAGACCTTTCCGGAGGCAGATAAGATCGGTGGATAAAATCGGCTTCTCTTTTAAAGATCGGCCGATCGCCGATCTCCCCAAATTAAGGAAATCGGGGCCGATCGATCGGCCGGCCGATTTATCGGTGCACCCCTAATTGAATTGTTTTTGTAAATGTATTTATATGTAAATGAGATGGGCATTTGATATCGCGATATATCGAGCGAGGACTTGTGAATCGAAAATAATCAAAATCGTATCATGACAGACTTTGTGATATCGAGAAACATCGTATCGTCATACAAACAAATCAATATAATATCGTATCGTGGTAAAGCTGGTGATTTACACCCCCCTAGTTACAGGCAATGTTCAGAACTTTTTTTTTCCCTGTATGTGTTTGTGTATGTTACTGGTATGTATTTAATTAAAAGTTTTAAAAATCATTCTGTGTAAATATCTCATATTACAACGTGGACACCTGCAGCTCATAGACAAGCGTGGCCTATTTATGTATGAAATTATTATTATTTTTTTTAATTTAGTAGCCGCGGCTTATGTACTCAATAGTCTGGACATTACGGTACCTTTTTTTAAATAAATAAATAAAATCTTATTCTGTGTACTCAATAATAATAAAAAAATCTTCAATTTATAAAACTGTATGCATTTTAAAAATGCAACTATAGTAAAAACACACAATCTACAAACAATTGTTTTTCTCCTTTATGAAGGTGCTAAATGATCTGGTTTTGGAGGTTCAGAGATTTGACTGTAGCTTTAACCTTAGCCTAATTTTAATATCGTCATTTGTACGTACTTTGATGAAAACTAAACTGCCTGATAGAATATTGAGTAATGTCTTCTTCTTAATTTGAATTGCAAATGACAAAAATCATAATGGTAAATGTACCCATCTTTCAGGAAGTGACATTAAATTCATTTTATTGTTAAAACTTCTTGACAGAAATAAACGAAATGGCTAGCAGTTTAAAATACAAACAATATAGAAATTTTTTGCTTTTCTGTGACCACTTCAGTTCAGATCTCTTACCAGTAACTGATAGATGGATGCTCCTTCAGTACTTGGGTGGGCAGAACTGGAAGCAATTTCAGGTCTGATCTGGTCGTCTCAGAACTGAGAAAAAAACCCAACAAAAAAACACCCACAAACTTTAAAATAATATGTACATGTATTCACAATTCTTGTCTTTTCCAGATCTTGTAAATTTAGTTTGATTATTTTTCCGCCTTGGCAGGAAGAGTAAAAGTAACACTCAACCAAAAATCCACTTTTAACTTATTATGGTCTGCCAGCAGATTAGTTGGTTCAAGATTTCCTGAGAGACCTCAGTCAGAGATCAGAAATATGCTGCTATAATCCTAAAATCAACGCTCCATGTGGACCATAAAGATAAATGTTGACATTAAAAAAAATCTACAGCAAAGGTCCAAAAATGTGCAGAGAACATATATTCAAGCTTTCATTGTACTGTGAATTTCTATCTTTAGGCATGACAGCAGTCACCTATATCTGAACATTTTCCAGAAAAGGTGCCGTGTCAGGAAATGTTTGTCTTTTATACACAGTGTAAAGAAAAGGGCTGCCTGCCAAGACTAAACGTGACTTTTACTCATGTCTTGCCAGATCTCATTTATAAAAAGGTACATGCAAAGCTTTTAAGTCATCGGGAGCTTTTCAAAGAGCTTTGGGAGAAATGTTTTAAAGCCATCTCCTGTTGGTTCTCTACAGAAACACTCTTCACAATTCCTGTGCATCATGAAGCAATATTTAGACTTATTTAAAAAAAAAGACTACAATATATTTATTCCTCCTCAATGTTTAAACAAACATCCTACATGATGATAAGAACAAGAACAGGTCTAGAAAATCTCTAAAGGTTTTAGTAATCTCAAGGAGACTGTGGTATCTGTACAGACAAAATGCAAATCTGCCCAGTTCTTTTTAAAAATACAATATGGGTCAATCTGTTTTAATTAGCCTTTCAAATATTGTAAAATCTGAGGTCAAATATATACTGTAAATGCATCCATCCATCCATTTTCTTTACCCGTTTATTCCATTTTGGGTCACGGGGGTCGCTGGTGCCCATGTCCAGCAATCACTGTGCGAGGGGCGGGGTACACCCTGGACGGGTCGCAAGTCCATCACAGGGCCACATAGAGACAAACGAGACAAACAAGCATTCACTCTCTCACTCACACCTAGGGACAATTTAGAGTTACCAATCAGCCTAACATGCATGTTTTTGGACTGTGGGAGGAAACCGGAGTACCCGGAGAAAACCCACGCATGCACGGAGAGAACATGCAAACTCCACCCAGAAGGCCCCTGGACCGGGGTTTGAACCAAGGACCTGCTCGCTGAGAGGCAGCAGATCTACCAGTTGCGCCACCGTGCTGCCTATACTGTAAATGTTTAAATGAAATTTTAGAGGTGCACATACCTTAAAACATATATAAAAATACAGCCCCCCCCCCCCAAAAAAGAGAAAAAATCCACGGTACATATCAGTATCTATAACATCTCTTAATGAAATGAGAATAACGAGTTACAACAACAAATAATTTTCCTTTGGAATAAATATAGTATTTTGAATTGAATTGAATTACCGGTAGGTATTGTGGCCTGAACAAATTATAAACAATCAAAAAGTGCAGATCTAACAAAGTTAAGTAAGGTTCCCTGGCCGGATTAAAATAATAAATAAAATAAAAAACTTGTTGAAACATTTCATCTTTAATCCAAAAGACTTCAGTCTGAGGAGTTGCAACAAACTCAGTTTTATAAACAGCCCCTTATCATAGTGGATCAACCAGTTTGTTGCTGACATCCATAACCAGCTGCTCACATGATCAAGGAGGACCATCAGCCTAACATTCAGTTGTTAGTGCTCTGATGGCCGCTTGCTATTCACAGAGGGCTGAGTGATACCAGCAATAACAGCATTGTAAGAGGGAGACAGTTGGACACGGAGGCCTCCACCATTGTTTAATGATGGACGGGTTCTTTTCACAAAAATGGCCTCCTTTACTCTTCTCTCAAACCAACGTTCCTCTCCATCAAGTGCGCATCCTTGATAGAGAGGAACGGCCATCAGAACACTAACAACTAGTTGTTAGGCTGATGATCCTCCTTTATCATGTAAACAGCTAGTTTTGGATGTCAACAACAAACTGCTGGGGCTATTTATAAAACGAGTCCTCCCACAGACCAAAAACATGCATGTTAGGCTGATTGGTAACTCTAAATTGTCCCTAGGTGTGAGTGAGAGAGTGAATGGTTGTTTGTCTCGTTTGTCTCTATGTGTCCCTGTGATGGATTTGCGACCTGTCCAAGGTGTACCCCGTCCCTCACATAGTGATTGCTGGACATGGGCACCAGCGACCCCCGTGACCAAAAATGGAAGAGGCGGGTAAAAGATAATGGATGGATAGATGGAGTTTACTGTAGATTAAAGCCGAAATGTTTCAACAAGATTTTTATTTTTTTTAATCTGTCCAGAGGACCTGACTTAACTTGGTTAGATTTTTCTACCTGGATTATTGAGCATGCATCAGAACAAAAAGTGCAGACCTAAAAAAAAGCAAAAAAAAAAACCAATCACATCTCCCACCCAAAGAGTGCAAATTAACAATCAAAACAGGTTAAATCATGTCCTCTGGAATTTCAAATGAACAGTCCTTCCATTTTGAGAGCAATTTGGAGTTAATGTTGAGTTTAAATACATCTCAACATATGGAGGAGTCATGCTCTGAACTGAAACCTGTACATTAGTGGGAAAGCTGGGTTTCCACCTTAGCTATGGCCACCCATAGTGTCAACATACACATGAGTCTGTATGAGGTGGATTAATGGTAAGTAACTCAAAAAATAAACCAGCAAAGTCAAAAAAAAATATACAACTACAAGTCTTCAAAATTGTTGAGAAATATCCTGATGCATGCTCAATAACCCAGGTAGAAAAATCCCTAAAAGTTCAATCTGGTCCTCTGAATATTAAAAAAAAAAAAAAAGTAGAAACGTTTTGTCTTTCATCCGAAAGACTTCCTCAGTCTGAGGTGCTGTATTCAGCTCAGTCTCTTAAATAGCACCTTCTCAGAGTGGATCAACCAGTTTGCTGCTGACAACCAAAACCAGCTGATCACATGCTCAAGAAGGACCATCAGCCTAACAATGGATCATTAGCACACTGATGGCTGTTTACTATTCACAGGGGGCTGAGTGATACTAGCAATAACAGCATTGTAAGAGGGGGACAGTTGAACCCGCAGGCCTCCTCCGTCCATCATTAAACAGGGGTGGAGGCCTCCGGGTTCAACTGCCCCCCTCTTACAATCCTGTGATTGCTAGTATCACTCAGCCCTCTGTGAATAGTAACCAGCCATCAGTGTACTAATGATCCATTGTTCGGCTGATGGTCCTTCTTGAGCATGTGATCAGCTGGTTTTGGTTGTCAGCAGCAAACTGGTCGATCCACTCTGAGAAGGTGCTATTTAAGAGACTGAGCTGAATACAGCACCTCAGACTGAGGAAGTCTTTTGGATGAAAGACGAAACGTAGCTACATTTTTTTTTGTGCTTTTTTTTGAATGTCCAGAGGACCAGATTGAACTTTTTTAGATGTTGAGAAATATATTTCTTTGATTAATGTGAAAAATCCCTCTGCTTCATTCCACACTTCTCCAGATGTTCACTGTAGATTAAAAACCACGTAAAAGCAGTTAGCTTGGGGTTTTCAGGTGGTGACAGACCATTTCTGTTACCTATGACCTCTCAGACAGGGGTCCGACTACATAAAGTTCATATAGAAGACTCATAACTAAACCAATAACAACATAAAACAACAAAACTATTAGATTATTGAACAGGATAAGGTAATGGTCATTTGACCTTAAATTAACTTCATGAACAACCATTCCACTCTTACTACAGAAAAACAGTAACATTTAACACCTTCTAATGTGGGTAGACAGAACCATGATGATCCAGTTATAAGAACCAGCTTACTGAAGAAAATCAAGAATAATCTGCTGCAAGGGCACTCCTCACCGCAGCTCCTTCTCCTTGGTTGACTGGGTTTTGATGCCACGGTACTTGTCTCCACGCTTGATGACATATTTTTTATGGGGTGCAGGGCTCTGGTGTTGTTGGGGTGATCTACTCTGCAGCCGTGCTGTTGTGTCAGCAGTCTGGAATTCATTACCACCTCTGTTATCTTTCCGCAGCACGAGGGCGATTCCTACGCCCGGTAGAGCCTAGCCCAGCTCAGCCTGCCCAGTGTGGGAGAGATAATACTCATGTGTCAGCTGTTCCACAGGGCTGAGACTTGGGGACTTTGGAGGGTGCACAATGAGAGAGCTGTGAATGAACCACTAATTACAGACCACACCTGCAAATAGAACTGTGGATGAAAACTGGGTGTAATACTCTTTCATGTGTGGGAAATTTTGAATGTGACTGGCACTCAAGTTAATTTAAAATCACATGCAGATAAAAGATAGTGGAACAAACACATGTCTGAAGCTTATATTTAAAAGTTACTGCAATTATACAAAGTACTAGCAGGAAAAAAATCCCCTAGTAGCTCTAAACTGTACGGCATAATTAAAGTCATCAATCACCAGTGATCTACATTTTCTATAATCTCTTATCAAACCCAAGAGAACAACTGCAACAAGCTGAACTCAGCTGTGGAATTTAACTGCAGGTCGTGAACGCAACAGCAATAAAGAGTGGCAAGGTAAGGCAGACAAAGACTATATTAAATACAGCACTGACTTAGCAAAGGGAATTCTTGCATGGCAGAAGTACAATGAGAAACCTGATGGTGCATTAATTCAACGCCCAGCAGGGGGTTGGCCAACACCAACACAATAATACAACTACAGTGAGGCCCCCCCCCCCCCCCAACTCACCTCGCGTCTCCCCGCACCCCA